AAAAAAAAAGAAAAATTGTCAGACTAGGCTTGGTGCCCATAGCTCAGCGGTTATGGCACCAGCCACATACACCAGGGCTGGCAGGTTCACGCTCAGCCTGGGCCTGCTAAACAACAATGACAACTACAATTTAAAAAAATATAGCCAGGCATTGTGGCAGTCCTAGGTCCTTGGGAGGCTGAGGCAAGAGAACTGCTTAAGCCCAAGAGTTTGAGGTTGCTGTGAGCTGTGACGCCATGGTACTCTACTGAGGGTGACACAGTGAGATTTTGCCTCAAAAAAAAAAAAAAACAAAAAAACCAACAACAACAAACTCAGACCAATAAACAATTAAATACAAATTACAAAGTACTGTGATGACTACTGAGTACAGAGGTCAGGAGTCTGTGCTTTAAGAACCATAGCTGGGTGGGATACATAGTGGAGGATGGTGGTGAGGAAAGCTTCCATAGTAGTGACCTGTTACTTAGGGCAAGTTACTTAAATTCATTTTTTTTTTCCTATAGAATGAAAGTAACGCCTGCCTAGTTACCTGAAAGGTAATTGAAGATTTCAACTATCTCAAGTAACAAGAGGGAACACTGGCAGCCTTCTTTAAATTGTATGACCATATTTCCCTACTACACCAAAGCCAAACCAGATACCAGACCCACATAGGGTCAAAATGTATTTCTCAGGACACTGTAATTAGGATTCACTGTGTTAGGTGGTCCCTGCATGCTAGGACTAGAATTGAGGTAATATGCAATCAGGGGTTACACAGTGGCCTAGGGTTGCCACTAGAATGGAATAACAAAAAGGAGAATGAAACAAGCTAGGATAGTGAATGAGAGAGACAAAAAGTCAGAACAATAGCTGCACAATTCCAAACATAGTTTCAGTTCCTCATCAGGCTTAATAAATGAGAACTCTTGTTTTTCCCAATAGTTTCTTTAAGTTTCTTAAGTGGATTATTTGTAATGGAAAGCACCCTTGACTAATAGCTAAAATGTAATCTTTTTTTTTTTTTTTTTTTGAGACAGAGTTTCA